GAAGAAGCAGTTGAGTAAATGGTTGAATGAATGAACTCGACACTATTGTCTTGTTCATTGGGGAGGTGTAATGTCAACCATGCTTACCTCCGATTTAAAACAATGTTGGTGTTGTAAGTACCGAACTGTTGGGTAATGTTCCTGGGCGTAAATAAGAGTGCGAGAACTTCTAAGTGTGGGCGATAACTTATATTAAATGAAAACAAATAAGTTCGAAAAGTTCTAAGTTGTATAGTGCGGTTTGTTGGCGAACGGCCGCGCAGGCTCGAAAGAAGAAGAGGTTGGTGTATGATTTGTGCTTTGTGAACCGAAGTGCGGGGTAATATGAGCTGGAGATTGGCAGATGACGATATATTTTGAATAGATTTGTAGGCTCGAAATTAAGGAGATACACGATATGATTGGCGGCAGGATTCTCAAGGAAATCCTTCGGAAATAGTACAAATATATGATTTATTTCATTAAGAAGTTCATTCTGCTAAGGTAGACGTTTACTCAACTATCGAGGGAATAAAACTAAGTTCACCGTTTCATTGTGTTTTGAGCCGATCTAAGATTACACTGTTCTACTTTTTACTTTTTAACCTGCGCCCTGCTAATCTGCTATGATGTAGAGTCCAAATTTAAGTACGATATTGCTTTTAGTTTTAAAGAGTGTAATAGCCGGGCCTCCATATTAGACTATGTTATAAACGTACTCTTAATAGTGCAAGGAACTTAAGTTTCCTAAATGGGTTTTAATGGTTTTATTAATTAATACCTTTTCCATTTTACATATCAGATATTTGGACGAGGCCATTAAAAGGCCCCAGTAAAATACCAAACATAAGAGTTAGTCTAGTTCTATTAATAGAACTATATTAACTTTCCAACTTTATTTATATCTGAATACTTCGGTAGCGAGATGGCTCAACCGAATATAGGTTTCTAGGGACTATTAACGTTACCTAGTTGATCCTCCGGATCAGCCAACCAGATGTGCCAGTCTGATGAAGGCTTAAGTAGGTAATTCTTGATGAGTGGCAAGTTATTGGTTAAGACAATAGCTAAGGACATCAAGAGTATTTTTCCTTCTTTTTCTTCTTTTACTTTCTAAAGATAAGATTTTATGAGTCTCTCAGATTCGCCCCAATGAAACATACCATAGTTTCTAATAGAGCGTCAACGAAACACTAAATAAAATCCCTTCGGCGGAAACAGTACTGAGAGGATTATATATAGGCAATGTCTCAGCCTCACAATCCCTCAGAGTTTTGCTGTTTTCACGAGGCATACCTAACTTTACTAAAAGTCTCATTTCGTTTATTTACTTCGATATTTTCACAATACTTATAATTTACCTACGCGTTTATTTACTCTAAGGCGTTAATATCGCCTTAATAGACTGAATCTTACAAGAGGAGATAATTTTACTATAGAGATTGACGCAGAAGTATCTTAAAAATCATTCTCATTGACAGTTATACGACTCAAATTCTTCGTCTTCACGAGTAATAAATGTATTCTTAGTCTCATCCCAATCGGACTATTGGTTAAAATGTTATTGAGTATTTCTGTTTGTACCAGAACTGAGTCAATCTAGCCACACGTAAGCGTTAAATATACGTCCATCCATACCTTAAAAATCATAGCCTTCTAAATTGAACATAAAAACACGGCTCTTTGGATTAGGGTCGTGAGCAGAAATTAGGTTTCTTCCGACGACTCTAGCAGAGACCCTAATCCAGAGGGCCATGATAAAAACAGACCTTTCTGCAATCTGCATACATAGCCATCTAAATTAAAATTATACACTTTCTGGCATTATAGCATACTACATGCTCTAATTGTCTTTGGGGTGTTATATGTGCGCGTATAGTGAGTCAGGATGTGTATTTCGGGTACTTCATATTAGAGAGAACCAGTTCCTATATAAACCTCAAGACCGGCGGGGATTTTACTATGGAGGTTGACCCAGATGTATATTAACAAATATATCCCATTGGTCATTAAATAGATAAAATTGTTCGTATTGACGAGTAATAAACACATACTTAATCTCATCCCGATCGGGCTATTGGCTCATAAGTTATAGAGAATTTGGTTTGTACTAGAGTTAGGTCAAACTAGTCAAACATGAGTACTATATAGGTCCGTTCACACCTATCAGACATCCTTGGAATCAAAGTAAGCTGCCCCTATATTCTTTGGGATAATATATGTCCGTTCATGCCACCTCTGAACATAAATTGTAACAGGAAGGAAACGAAGTACCCGATATATATGTTCAGAGGTGGCATGAACGGACATATATTATACCAAAGAATA